GCTGTGTTCTAATCACTGCTGCCACAGCCTGCAACTTGCTGTGTTGGCTTCTACTGTGTGCTAAGCACTGCTATCGCAGGTTATAACCTCACCCACGAACAGTTCTAGGACTGCTGAGATTAGTCCTTCCGCCTAGATCTGTGTAGAACAGATCTATCTTAGCCGAATGGCTATAGCCTGCTGTACTGCGTCTATTAGGGCATCAGCCTCTGGGTCTAACTCCCCTTGGGCCCTACAACCAAGGGAAACCCTAGATGTAGGTCCAGCTGTGTTCTACGACCAACCCTAGGGTTTCTTTGCAACAACCAAAAAAAAAGTGAGAGAGTTAACTGCGAGTAGAAGAAGAGGCGGCTGCTGTAACCAGTCGAAAGATTAGCGCTCTGATACCATGTTTGCTGAAGTAGAGCTGTCGAATGAGAGGAGAAGTAGAAGAAGAAGAAGAAGATATGAGATGGGCGGTAGAATAGTTCTCAGCCAGCCCTAATCTATTATATATAAGAACATTACATAATGTTACATAAATAGACCAGAATGCCCCTGATTAGTGATGGGACACCTAGTAAAAAATAAACACTAAATAAGATTAGGCCCAGTAACTAAGGCCCAATAAATAATGACTTAAGACCCAACAAAGATAAACATACAAATTAAGACAGCCAAACCAACAATTTGGAAAGTGTTATCAGAGTTGTTTTAGGAGCTAGAATATGTGTTACTTATGGATTTGTCTTAGTTTTAAAGCAAATAGAAGTTTATTTGGTCAGTTTCTTAGTCCGAATTGGACTCTGTAATGGGACATCCGAATTTATAAGTTGAGTCTATAAATAGTCATTGTAGTTGAAATCAAGAAAGAGTTCATTTGAAGGGTTGCCTTGTCTAAGTTCCTAGCTATTTTTTACTCCTAGGTTCACCTATAAGTGTTACTCCTAGGTTCCATAGTTGTCAAGGCAATGCCTAGGCAGTGATCATGGAGGATTGCCTTGTCTAAGTTCCTAGCTATTTTTTACTTGGCACTATAAATATGTTTATATTCTTTTTTTTTAGATTATAATAATAAAATAGAAATTATTATGTTAAATATTCATTTTTTGGATTTATATACTGGTTTTTTATTATTTTCTTATTTGTTAGGGTTCAATCAACACACAAGTTGGTGTGCATGCTGTTTTGAATCCTTGAAGCCTTCAAAACCTGAACCAATAAGCAAAGAAGAACATAAAATTTTGTCCAATAAACACATTTTTCTTATTTTTTTGTTTCTGTTTTTCTTCTCCTGGATATGCCGACTTTCTATGTTTTAATTTGAAGTTTGTACTTTTTTATGTAGATTTTGATAATTACTAGTGAAAGATGATTGCTGGTTACTATGTTTTAATATGTTGATTTTATCAAGATGTTGGTTTTACAAAGAATAGTTTTCCATGCTAAATATCAACCATTACTCCTGACCTCTCTATCCAAGCCACACATATCTTTTCATGCTAGCAAAACTGTCTACCAAAGAATTAGCTGATCCAGAAATGACATACACCCTTTATTATACTAGTTGTTGAGCATATTTGTCACATGTAAACTAGTGTTTGACATTTTTCAGTTAGCCCAAATAATTAAACAAAAAATTAGAATCTAAATGTGCTAATATAATAGTGGAAAGAATGCAAAAGGAGAGCTAAAGTCTTAAAATGTACTTTTTACTTCTTATATGGTAAAAGGGTTCTGTTTATTCTACAGATTGGCAATATTTCATCCTAGTACATTGACTATTTGTACTATCAAACTAATGGTTCTGATTAATAAATTATAAATGACATGTTCAAGTTTTTCCCCCTTTTGAGATTTAGTTAAACAGCATATGGCCTACAAGAAGAATTAGACCATAATCCATACCAAAACCTTTACACCTTGTATGCATTTTTTGCTACAGCCATCTTACAAAGTCCAGCCATACACAATAAGCGGCCTCCAAGACCCGGCTATCGACGTGTCAGAATTAATCGTAAGATGTTCTCAAATTTAAGATCTTAATATTTTTCTGTGGTGTTGAGTACTTTCATCTTTCATATTTGGCATCATAACAGGTTTTGTTAAAGTGAGCATGTTCAAACTTTACAAATTTGATGATACCAAACATTATGCTATTAGCCTAGGAGATGATGTGCTTCCATCCTGTGATGATATCATGCAGTGCTGGTTATAATTTGTAATTAGATATGCATTTCTTACTTTTGTGATATTTTGGTTGCTATGGTTAACAGTGCTCCATGACCTTTGATTATATTTTTGGGTGGATAGATCCTTTGATCCACCCTTTCTCCTGTGAATGAGCACTTGTTAAACCCGTTCAGAAGGTCCACCATTGCAGAAAACAAACCATTTCGGGGATAAAAGGCAATTTGGCCACCATTGCAGAAGGTCCAAGTATTAATGCTTTCAAAGAACACTTCTATTAGAATAGTTAATGTTTAATGTAGTATTTGCCGCAACAGCACAGGTGTCTTTTTAAATTTTATCTTCTGTCGCCCTATTTATATTAATAAGAACTAGTGCTACCAGATTGATTATTGCTCTCTAATCTATCTCTTCTCTTCTCCTTGAAGACCCTAAGCTTGCATAGTGGGAATAGGATAACTCACTGGTAATGTCTTGGCTGGTCTGTTCAATGAAACCTCACATTGCTCATAACTACATGTTCCTCTTGACTACTAAAGATATTTCGAACAGGGTTATTGCCACTTACTCACAAGTTAACAGTATTGCTAGAGTATATCATCTTAGGAGAGAACCTTGTAATATGCATCAGGGGGAGAGAACAGTGGCATGTATTTCTCCTCTCTACAATCTCGTTGGGAAGAAATGGGCCATTTGAAAACTTTTGAGTGGAATGATCCTATAGATGTCGAGTAGTATAGCAAGTACATTGAGGAGAACAGGGTCTTTGACTTTTTGGCTGGCTTAAATCCAGAGTTTGATTTCACTAGGCAGCATATTTTGAGTGTAGGCATTGTCTCTCTGGCTACTGCATACTCTCTTGTGCAAGGGGAAGAAAGTAGAAGGGCAGCCATGGTGCAACCGTCTATGATTGAGCACTCTGTCTTAATGTCCTCTAAGCCTAGGCCAAGTGGCGGTAAGCATCCTACTACTAAGAAGTTTGATGATGCCATCTCTGAATATTGCAAGAAGCTGAGGCATACTAAGGAAAGATGTTGGTAACTCAATCCTCACCTTGAAACTGGACATGTTTAAAACTGGAAAGAAAGGCAGTGCTCATTTGGCCATAGTTGGTAACAAGGGTCAGTCTTCTGATGTGAGCACTCAATCTCATGACTCCTCTGACATGATGGATAAACTTCAGAGTCTTCTATTGCACTTGGAAAAGAGTGGGGCATCCTCCTCATCTGGTTCTAGTAATCCATCCAGTGCACATGCTAACACAGGTACTTCTCTTGCTTATTCTGTCATACAACCAGTTCGTACAAGAGAAGAGGACAAAGTTCTGGGGTATAAAACTAAATCTATCGGCTCCACCCCAAGAGTCTATAATTATAGATATTTACAAAGAAGTCCTTATAGGACTAAAGAAGAAAATAAATATTTACATAACAGCTCTCATAGAAAATAAACAAGAAGGAAAATACAATACAACAGGGAATACAAAGTATGATACACCAATGAGACTCTTCACACTCCCCCTCAAACTGATGCAAAGGCATTAGCATCAATTTGTTCACAAGGAATAAATGTCTAGATCTCGTCATGGCCTTGGTGAAGATATCATCAACCTACACATTAGAGGCAACATGAGGGAGAGAGATAGAGCCAACAAGAAACAAGTCTCTGATAAAGTGGAAATCCACCTCAATGTGCTTCGTCCTTTAATGAAGAAGACAAGGTTAGAAGCAATCTTTATAAAACTAGTGTTGTCTGCATACAAAGAGATAGGAGTAGAGGAGTGACCAAGTTCCCTAAATAGAGATTGAAACCAAACAATTTCACTGCATACAGATGACATTGCCTTGTACTCTACTTCCGTAGATGACTTGGAGATAGTTTATTGCTTCTTACATTTTCATGAGATAAGAGAATCACCCATGAAGACACACCACCTGGTAGTGAAATGGCATGTGCCAGGGCAGCCTGCCCAATCTGCATCAACATAGGCCCTCAATTGGATAGGGGAGGACGAAGAGAAGAATAGTCCCTGTGATAAAGTGCCCCGAACATAGCAAATATCTGAAAAGAAATAGAAAGTGCAGATAACTTGGCTACTCCCGAAAAGAAAGAGATATGCTCAAGGAAATTGTGTCTAGTGTGAGTCATAGCCTTGGTAAAGAGATCGGCCAACTAAAGATTGGATGACACATGAGGAAGAGATCAGCCAACAAGTGTGAGTCTTTCATGCCTTCATGAAAGACTGGATTTGAGGCAATCTTGATTGCACTCATGTTGTCAGCAAATAAAGGAATGGGAGTTGAGTGATCAATGGTCAAATCATGAAGATGGGCTTTAAGCCAGACAAGATCACTGCAAATAGAGGACATGGCACAATCTTCGGCTTCAATAGATGATTTGGAGATTGCCTGTTGCTTCTTACACTTCCAAGAGATGAGGGAATCACCTAAGCAAACACACCATCCAGTGGTTGATCGTCTGGTGTCAAGGCAACCGGCCCAATTAGCATCAGCATAAGTAGTCAACTTATGAGATGAGGAAGATGAGAAGAAAAGTCCATGAGACAAGGCTCCTCTAACATATCTAACAATCCAAAGGACAATAGGGAAATGAGGTTGCTGAGTTGATACAAATTGGCTGACTACCTGCACAACATAGGATATGTTTGGCCGAGTCATGGTGAGGTAAATAAGGCTTCCAACAAGCTAACGATATAATGTAGCATTAGGAAGGAGTTGTCCATCATCCTTATTGAGCCTTAGGTTGAGTTCCAATGGGGTATCAACTTGCTTCAAGTCAGAGAGATTGACCATCTTAATCAAGTCACTAGCATACTTGTGCTGATTAAAAAAAATATCCTCGATCACTTCGGGCGATCTCAAGACCAAGAAAGTAGATTACCAGACCAAGATCCTTCATTTTGAAGGATTGGTTGAGAAGTTGCTTCAATTGAGTGATCCCTTCCAAGTTATCGCCAAAAATAAGTATATCATCAACATCAAGGATTAAAGTACTGGTATCGAGTATCGCATCAAACAACTTGGATACGGATACAGATACGGATACACTTTGGAAACGCATGGATACACTAGGGAAATACATAAAAATTTCATAATACATTAATAATATTAAATTTAAGGTCAAATAACCATAAATAATGCATAAATACATAGAAAATGTATATTTTAATGGTGTATATGAAGAAATATATTACAATTAATATAATATGATGCATATATATCATACAATTTTGTTGATACTGTATCAATCAAGAGTCCAAAATGCAAAGCATATTTTCCTATTATATTTCAATTATTATATCAATTATTTTCGATTTTACTATTTTTACTTTTTTACATTAACAAAGAGGTCAACCAAATATTAAATTCTCTATGTAAATTAAAATATCCATTAATAATTTATAAAATGTACATTCTCAACTTAAAATATATCAAATCTATTAAAATTTCTAAGATACATATCATATGCAAATTCATAATTTTTAACTTTTAAAATGATTATTCCATTATTATATTTTTATTCCTATAATTTTCTAATTAAAAATCTTGCTTTTTTGGTATAAATGTAGATTAGTAGATTTGATAGATTCAATTTAAGATTATATTCTTGAATATTTTGTAAAGAATGTTTTTTTTTTCTAAATAATAAATATGGTTTTGTGTAATATATATCATGTGCAAATTTATAAATTTTAAGTACTAAAATAATTATTCTCTTATTAATATTATACTTTTATAATTTTTTTGAGATTCAAATAATATTTTGATATAAATGTGGATTTGATATATTATTTATTTCTACTATTTATAAAATACTGATTTTAAGTATTACTTTTTAAATTTTTAGTTGGAGTTAACCGTAATATGTATTATTTATTTGAATCGCAATTAAGTAATAAAGAAATAAAATCTGTATTCATTTGAAGCGCATGCACATTCGTGTCTCGTAGGTAGCGTATCGTTCTATATCGGTCCGTATCAATATATATCGGCCGATACAGTGCGATAAGGATCGATACACACCTGTATCGACCTAATACGCATGACTGGCAGGATACATCTCCAGTCGTAGCGTATCCCATGCCGGACACTAATGATACAGATATGATACACCCCGTATCAGATGTATCGTATCGATATTTCAATCCTTGGTCAACATACACTAACAGAAGAGTCACTCCCTGGGGACGTTTGAGAATAAAAAGGGAATAACATGAGGAGCTCTGCTGAAATCCTGCTTGAATAATAACCCCTCTGAATTTCTCAAACCAAGCTTGTGGGGCTTATTTGAGCCCAGGCAAAGACTTCTTAAGTCTACAGACTAAAGTAGGATCATCACAGTAGCCTGGAGGAGGTTTTATATATACCAACTCACGGAGATGCCCATGAAGAAAGACATTCTTTACATCCATTTGATGAAGAGTCCATTGCTTAATAGCAATGATGGCAAGAATAAGCTGAACATTAGTCATCTTAGCCACCAGTGCAAATGTCTCTTCATAGTCAATGCCATGTTCCTGTTTGTACCCTTGAGCATCCAAGTGATCTTTATATCTATCCAAACTGTCATCAGAATTCAGCTTGACTGAGTACACCCAATGACTACCAATAGTGGAGGCATCTGCTGGAGCAGAAACAAGCTCCCAAGTACCATTTTCCAATAGGGCCTGAATTTCCAAGTCAATTGCAGCTTTCCAATACCCAATGTCTCTTCATAGTCAATGCCATGTTCCTGTTTGTACCCTTGAGCAACCAAGTGGGCTTTATATCTATCCAAACTGCCATCAGAATTCAGCTTGAGTACAAC